CACGGGCCGGCGGCTGCGTTTGTACGAATAAGATCGCACCCGTCCCCCGCTTCAGTGCTTGCTATCGTACGCGTTTAACTTAAGGCCTGAGACCACTCCGAAGGACTTTATCGCAACAATCACGTAAGCTGTGCAGTACTCAATATTTTTCTCTATATATTCGAATGCAAGGAATTATACATAACCGTAAGCTAACACTACACTCAATCGATGCACTAGTTTTAACACATTTCACGGTGGTAGGGCCACGCAACAGCCTCGGCTGTTGCACGAATGGGTAGGCTCGTCCGGGTAACTACCACGACCTCAGAGAAGACCGGCGTAAAGTGGAAGTATAATACTTTCGCGTTTCGTCTGGTGAGTGAGGTGGCCGGAGCCCAATTTTCAAAAGGTTGTCAACGCATCTGGAACCCTCGAGTGTAGCAGATGTCCATGGGCGGCGGTATTCACTCAACATCAGGTGAACCGTCTGCTCGCATGGCAACTTTTCACATAAAAAAAACACATTTCGTTTTCACTCGACAGATGTATACGCGAATAATATAGCAATTTTAATATGTCAATTCGTAATATAGCGGAGTTTAACTCTTGCTCATAAACTGAATTTATCGTTGCCGTTTTAAATGGTTTATGTAAACAGTTCCTTTGTTCAATTAGGGATTGGGCGTTGACACAGACGTCACTTCTAAGATTTATTTCCGGTGTGGTATTTCAACTGGCTGATGATTTCTGCACTTAATAAATTTTGAAACATTTATTTATATGCGCTTCACGTCCGTTAATTTAAGCCCCACCCCGGTCGCTTGAACGATCTGTTGAATTGCTTTTATAGTTTAATATAAGATTAAAATGTTTCTACGTTCACATATTTTTAAATCGTCTTGTCGATAACGTTATGGTATGTCTTTTCTCTTTTTGTTAACAGATTACGGTCTATTAATAAAAAGACAAAAGACACGCGACTGAGGACGAATATTATTCATCAAAGTAAATGTCCATCTTACTAGCCTAAATTTATTAGTACTTAAATTTATAAGACCGCAAGGCAATGCTAGACTAGCGGGTAAAGCGTAGAAAATCGCTCTTTATTGAGGAAATCGGATTGAATGCACCTTCCTTTAATAAAAAAATAAAATGAAAATAACTTCTTTGCCAAAATTTTCGATCAATTTTTGTCTTTTTGCAGATCACGAAACATGAAGAAGCTTTAGTACAGTTGACTTGAGGAGTTTCTGTTGATATGGACTTTACGAGGTTCTCAGTGGTTATGGCTTGACTGACACGACGAAGGGTTTAAACAGGCGACCAGCGGTTAAAAGCCGCTTCGACGATGAGTCTTTAAGCCTCTCTTCTAATCGCCCTGGTTCAACGCACGGAGCGGTGCGGAGGTGTCATCAACAGCACTGTAACAATTGCAGACGGTCCAAATCCCTTAGCATCCTCGCATTGAGGCCGTTCACACCTTTCAATTATCCACTAAGCCGACGCCGCGCGATTTGTCACCGAGTTAAAAACACACGTAATTAATAATTCGGATTAGCAGCGTAGAACGTGACGCGGTATGAAAGGGCACATTCTGTCCGTGCGGAGCACAAAGCGGCCCCCGCACCAGCTATTACTCTTCTGTAATGCTTAGAGGCAACTGAAATGGTAAGAGGCGCACGGGCGATTAGCGGTAAGACAATGAGGGCAGGTATCGCCGTGGCACAGTGTGTTCCAGCAGTACCAACTCATATATCATACAGAACTTGGTTGCACATCGTCGATTCTCAGTTTCTCCTACACTTATCCCATCCATGTGAGGTCAGCTCAATATGCGAATCATTTTTGTTAGTGATATTGGCTATGATTTTTTACACCTGGCTACTTCAATAACAATCACTACTTGTCTAAGCTTGTCCTTACGTGCCAAAGCCAATAGCTTAGTAACTGCTGTTGTTGAAATGATGGGATCGTCGATTCCTACAAATGTTTTCGTTTTTACTAAAAGAGTATTTTACTAAAAGAGCATTATGTTTAACTACAAATATCACTTCCCTTGTACCGATAGTACACTAGTGGGAAGCTTGTAAGCTTTCCTCAGTTTGGGACCTTTGAAAATTTTCTGACTACGTTCTATACATAAAAAATAATTAAAAAATTTGACCAACCCTTTAAGTTTTTAAGTATTATATATATTTGCATAAAACTTGATTTAAATGTCGAATATTTTTTATGTTATATTGTTCACTTAATAAATAAATAAATTAAAAAAAATTCAAGACAAGAGTAAAATATATTGTCAAAATCGTGACAAAATTGTAAAATATCTAAAAAAAATTACCAATTAAACATACATTTAATTTCCATCTTGAACGCAGACGAGTGCTAAAAATGATAAATAATCATAATATTTACGCTTTTTTCTATTCCTGATGTACCTGCTTCACAATTACACTGTGGTAGTTATCGATCACATCTCCTTAGGCCTCTTCATACATAAACGTTTCGCGGTATGCGACCAGCCTTATCTGCGTTTTCATGCATTGTGTCCCGCCTTAAAATGGTTTCTAACTTTACTCTAATGATGTGGACATACATTTGTGAATGTACAACCGTTTATTAGTCAAATACGATTTGCAGATTATTAGAAGCGGAATATGGCATGCGGAAGAGCTGATATAAATGCATTGCATGCATTGTAAAATTCCACGAGGAAGAATACAAACAACGCCACGACCCGACTGGCCTAGTGGATAGTGGACCTGTCTCATGCGAAAGAGGCTATTTAAAAAATATTTTTTGATGAACATAGTGTTTTTTCCTGTATCTAGGTGTTTATACAGCGTGTCGTTACCATCGCGACAATAAATGAACACACGTCTAACGCTACTTGCCAATAATCATAAAAAATAAATTTCAAACAAACTAATTAAGTAAAAAAAGAAACAAAATTTGTAACATCCTATACAACTCGCGACACAGCGTCGTATTACAAGCCTCTCCTTCTAACAGTATGTTATGTCTCTTTTAAATTCATTCAACCCATTCATATACTTTGTGACCTTTACAAATGAACTTTACGGTTTTATAGGTAAAGATGTTCTAAAATTCTTTGTTATGGAAAATTTAATAACTCTGTACATATTGATATTTAAAGAATGTAAATGTTTAATACAATTTTAAAAAGTTATCCCTATATGTGTGTTCATTTTTTGTCGCGATTGTAAAGACACGCTGTATATTTATGATGTAGTATGTTTATCAGTTATCTAGTACCCATAGTACAAACTTGGGACCAGAAAACGTTGTGTAAAAATGAGCCCTGAATATATTTATTTATAAATCTCAACACTTTGTAAGCTTGTACGTATTAAGAGAAAACGATGATAATTAATTTATACAAGTATCTTTAGATGCAATGGTTTCTAATGTGGATGAAAGAACAATCAAATTCTTATTTCTGGTCGTTTTCATCATGTCTGATGATCGTGGTTGGCGGTCGTCGTTCTAGCACGAATGAGATCTCTCCATCGATTCCGGTCCATCGCGGTCTAACCATATCGCAGAAATTCGGAGACGGTTCTGTGTCCTTGAGCTGGTCAGTCCACCGTGCTGGAGATCGGTCACGTGATCTTTTGCCTTCAGTGTTTCCAACAACGATCAACCTTTCCAAGCTTTCGTCTCCTCTTCTCATTATGTGGCCAAAGTAACTAAGGAACCGTTGCTCGCAGAGTGTGGACAGTCGCGTCTTGATGTTGAGCTCCGACAGTATGGACTGATTGGTGCGTCTGGCTGTCCATGGTATTCGCAGCATACGCCTCCAACACCACATCTCAAAGGCATCAATCCGCTGTCTCTCTCTACTCTTGACAGTCCACGTTTCGGCTCCATATAAAAAAATCGAAAACACCAGGGCTCGTACTAAACGCATTTTGGTGTTTTTGGAGATTCCGCGATTTTGCCATATTTTATTAAGCCTGGTCATAGCATCCTCTCCCATCCCAATGCGTCTTTTTATCTCCGGAGTACAGTTTCCATCCTTACATATCTTCGACCTCAGGTATATAAAGTCATCCACAGTGTCAATCCCGTCAATTTTGTGAGTGCCAAACAAAAGGCCGGCGCGATCCACGACCATTAACTTTGTCTTGCTACGATTGATTGCAAGACCAAGTTTACCGCTTTCAGCCTCTAATCTATTTATGAGCTCTTGCATGTCAGACACCGAGGATGCCAACAATACAGTGTCGTCAGCATATCTTAGGTTACTAATTCTCTTCCCGCCAACACCAAATCCCTTGTCCCATCCGTAAAGCGTATTGCGGATTATATACTCGCCATAGATATTTAATAACATAGGTGACAATATACATCCTTGTCGAACTCCTTTTTTCGTCTGGAACATTTTGGAACATTCTGAACCAACTCTTATGTAGCTTCTGTTGGCAGTATACAAGTTTTGAATTAGACCTATGAGGTGCTCCGGTGCTCCCATTTCTTTCAAAACAGACCACAGTTTGTCCCACTGCATGCAGTCAAATGCTTTTGTGTAGTCAATGAAGCACAGAACAACTGGATTATTGAACTCTCAACTCTTTTCAATAATTTGTCTGATGTTAAGCAGTTGTTCTCTTGTACCTTTTCCCCTCACAAATCCCGCTTGTTCTTCTGGAATTTGTCTATCTAAAAAGTGCTTGAGACGCTGGTTTATTATGTGAAGGAGAATTTTGCTTGCATGTGAGATTAATGCTATGGTACGATAATTTCCACACTCCGTTGTAGAGCCTTTCTTGTGGAGCGGGACAAACACGGACTCAGTCCATTCTTCAGGCCAATTACCCGACTGCCATACGAGGTTGCATAGCCTGGTCATTACACCCCATTTTTTCGCCCATTTTTTTGATGAGCTCAACTGGAATTCCATCCGAGCGCTGATGGCCTTCTGTACTTCCGATGGCAGTATACCAGGTTCGTCTGCGACCCATGGATTGTTAGCCCCGGGATCCTCGTTGCAGTCATAAAGTTGCGCGCAGTATTTTCGCCATCGTTCCAGAACGTGATCCATCTCCGTTAGCAGTCGCCCATCTTTCGTCCTTGACCACACATGTTTCCATCGGTTTAGATCTGGTCAACAACTTTAGCTTTTGATTGATAAGATCCTTGGTCTCATGTTTCAAGGAGTGCTGTTCCAGGTCCTCACAAATGTTGTTGATATAAGCGTTGTAGTCCTGCCTGCATCTTCGCTGAACTTCACGGCTCAGCTGCGAATATCGCTCCCACTGCTCGGAACTGGATAGACCTCCCTGCTTTAGTTCCCGGCGCTCCTTAATGACTTTAGCTGTTTCTATTGAGATATGACTTTTCATGGTAGGTCTTACAAGTACAAACCTCTTAGCTGTTTTTGTAATGGTGTCTTTCAGAGTTTTCCACAAGATATTTGTGTTCGAGTTGTCGATAGATGGCATTTCCGATAGTTGACGCTCGAGTTCTTTTTCATAGGCCACTGTATCCACTCTGCGCAAATTTGGAACTGTCTTTTGCTTCACGATTCTTTTCAGACGCAGTCGGATCGTTGCAACTAGTAGTTGGTGGTCGCTGCCACAATCTGCTCCTGGATACGTGACCACGTTCATTATCGAAGTTCTCCACCTCGAACGCATCAGAATGTAGTCTATCTGGTTTCTATACCTTCCCCCCGGAGATACCCATGTATATAGCCGCCTTGGATGGTGTTTAAAACAGGTGTTCATTACCGTGAAGTCCTCTTCTGTGCAAAATTGAATGAGTCTTTCCCCCCTATCATTTCTTTCCCCGACCCCATACTGTCCAATCCGTCGTCGAAAATTTCCTGAATCGTCATATCCTCTACCAATCTTGGCATTGAAATCACCAATCACCATAGTTATCTCGCGGCTTGTGATTTCAACGATTGTTTGTGAAAGCGCGCTGTAGAAGTTCTCTATTTCCTCTTCACTGGATTGACACGTAGGGGCATATACCTGCACAACATTAAGCTTGCAAGGTGTTGTTTGGGTTTTGATAGTGATTATACGGTCCTTGACTGGCTTGTATCCTATAATGTATTTATCAAGTTGTGGTGGCACTATAAAGGCTACACCCCTACTACAACCAAATAAAAGATGTCTAATGATTGCAAATAGATCAACATGGTATAATTTTTTTGTAAAAACCAGCCAAGTGCGAGTCGGACTCGTGCACGAAGGGTCCCGTATCTATAAAAACAGCAAAGAAATCATGACTGTTGTATTATTTTTTGTTATAGCGGCAATAGAAATATATCATCTGTGAAACTTTCAACAGTATAACTATAGAGGTTCATGAGATACAGCCTGGTGACAGACGGACAGACAGACAGACGGAGTCTTAGTAATAGGGTCCCGTTTTACCCTTTGGGTACGGAACCCTAAAATAGAATCGATTTCAAATCTCACTCACTTTAGTGGAGGAGTTATCTCATATCTCTGCGTTATCCAAATCCAATACTAAGGAAATAAATATAGGACCAATAGGAGCTAAACCGAACATAATACAAAAAGAGTTTTTAAAATCGTTTTCGATTTCATAACCATTGGACCAGAACCAGAACTATTTAGATTTTTGAAGTCAACGGTAAAAAACTGAACACTTGAAAAATGAAGAGCGTGACCCAGTGATCGTTATTTTGAGCAATGACAATTTTTTGTTTCTGATTTGGATGCATTGTCACTGTTACTGTCTACTGAAAGCACACAAAAGATCTTATTAATTTGTCTTAAGTAGATCACGGATGTTTTTCCTTATATAAATACTTTCAAACGTGACTTTAACGTTACTATCGTCAATATGAGGGAAGTGAACGCCGCTGTAAAATTATGCTTAAAATATCGTATCCATAACATAAAAGAAACAACTTGTCGAGGGACATGACGCGACACCCATAAACGCGTATTATTTCCAATGAGACTCTAAGTGATGTGAAAGTAATTTATCGACAACATAAAAAGCGACTTATCGATGATATCACAGCAACGTATATCTGTTGCGGAAATCTTGGAAACGGCGTGTTATGTGAATGTTTATACGATTATTGCATGTCACAGCGGCCGAGCCGAGAGGTACATTCCCGTCGCTCGTTTACACACGCCAATGCCGATAAATTGTTTATTTCGCTGTGATATTCGCAGAGTACAGTCGCACCGAAAAGGTTTCTGAAACACTGTCCTGTACAAATGTCCTGTGCAAAATTATTCTTCTAAAACCATCCGTTTACGCTATGCATTTCCTGCCAGTCAGCTAATATTAAAGTTTATAAAATATAAAAAGCACAGATGTACATAAGCATTGCACTTTCTGCTTAAGAATAATTGCGAAATTTTGCACCCGAAAGAGTAAAAAACCGTCACTGACTACGTATAACACTTACGTAGTACAACTTTATCTACTTTGAGACTAGGAACTCGCCCTTATGTTCAATAAATTCCTTGCTTTGAAAGCTTTCACAGGCGTAAACAATTTTATCACATTAATTAGGGCCAGGAAATTAATTAACGTTTTAATTAATCTAACGGTGGTGTAATGAACATAGCAAATGCTATGTTCATTATCACTACATAGTATAAAATAAAGTCGTCCCGCTGTCTGTCTGTCCCTATGTACGCTCAGATCTTTAAAACTACGCAACGAATATTGATGCGGGTTTTTTAGATAGTGTTTCAAGAGGAAAGTTTATATGTAAAAAAAACTAAATATGTATAAAATTGCACCTGTGCGAAGCCGGGGCGGGTAGCTAGTAAAATACTATAATGTTAAGGCCCATTTGCACGATGCCATTTTCTTGAACATACAAGAGCAATAATTGAATGCAATAAAATGCGCGCAATAATTGTTTAGACCATTTCTTGTTTAGACCATGCAACTCATTTATTGCTTCAATTTAATTGTATACAACAGGCAAGAAACTGGCACCATGTAAATGGTCCTTTAAATACAGCAAACAATGTTCTATTGAACAGGTTGATTACGTATACGTTAATTAATAAATTAATACAGTATTAGCACAAGTATCACTATTATGCCCTATTGCCAAATCCTTTATATTTATGTTTATCTTTTTAAATGTGAAAAGTTTGCAAACGAGCAGACGGTTCACGTGATGTTAGGTGATTATCGTCGCCCATAGACTAATACAACACGTGGGTGGCATGTGTGTTGCCAACCACCAAAAAATTATTGAATGTGAATAAGAACCCAGTTACCTCACTCACCAGAGCAACACTGTTGCACGAATGGGCAGGTCCGTCCGGGTAAGTACCACGACCTCACCGAAGACCGGCGTAAAGCAGAAGTATTATACTTCTGCGTTTCGTCTGGTGAGTGCGGTAGCCGGAGCCCTACTTTATTTAATTTTGGTAATGCATTTGTAACCCGAAGGGTGTTGCAGATTCCATGGGCGGTGATTGTCACTTAAGATCAGGTGAACAGCCAGCTCGTTTGCAACTTTCTCACATAAAAAAGTGTGTTTTAATTGAACCTGCTGAAATCCAATAACATATTAAGGATCTATATCTGACTATAATTATTTCTTACTTTGAAAAAACATTGCCTTACTTTAGGATAACATTACCCTGTCTTGTGAGGACGTTTTACATACATAAATTACACGTGGACAAACACCCAGATGCGAAACAACTACTGTGGGTCGCACAAATAGTTGTCCCGTGTGGGAATCGAACCCATGACTCTCGACACAATAGCCAATACCTTGGCGATAGCGCCACGGAGTCATCAGTATATTGTATATTGTATCATTAAGCACGACCTTGACCGGGTAAAATAAGCATAGTAAATGTAAGTTTCATGAAAATTATGGTAATCGAATATAAATTTATTTTAGCGATTAAGTTACATGGCATGTTAAACTCGAGCGATCCGAGTTGTATTTTGAATTTTAATTTAAAAATCACTTACACTAATAATAAATATTACATCCTATAAAAGGAATGTTACCCACATTAGAAAAATATATCCGTGGTAAATTGTCGTGACCATACAAAACTCTTAATATATCTCATCAATTCATCACAATTAAATTACTAAAATAACATGCACAAACATAGGACACGTGATTGTCCAAATTAATCGACCCGAATGGCGTAGTCGGTAGTGTACCTGCCTTCTGCGCCAGAGGGTGTGGGTTCGATCCCCTCTACTGGAAAAATATTGTATGATGAGTGTATTTCTAGTGTCATATATTCATAGTGTTTTTCTAGTGTCTGGGTGTTTATATATGTATAATGTGTATTTATTTACAAAAAAAAAGTATGTTTAAGTATGTCTATCAATACATATATAAAAAGTTTTAAATTATTTATATTTATATTAAAAATACAATTTTAAAAAGTTATCCTCTATATGTGTATTCATTTATTGTCGCGATGGTAAAGACACGCTGTATATGTATAATATGTATGTATATGTATAACGTATGTTTATCAATTTTCTAGTACCCATAGTACGAGCGTTGCTTAGTTTGGGACTAGAGAATGTTATGTAAAAATGTGTCGAAAAATATTTAAAAAAAAAATTGATTAATTGAATAGATAAAAGCTTTAACACTTTACTACCCGATTGTACCGACGCCTAGAAGCAGCTCGAGGTAAGGAGCGGTAGCGTTGCATTTTATTGGAATAAGTCCCGTTTATTTATTGCGTACATAAAATGCTATTTTTCAATGCGGCCGGTGCTCGTAGAGTATAATGAGATCGATAAATCAATATATTTTCTGTTTACAATCGGTTGCGAAGTGATTTTTTTTATTACGTGGTGCTTAACTATCACTCCACTTGGTGGTAAGTAGCGATGACGTGATAATTATAGTTGTGACCTGATTTATCGGCAGTGGTAAATAGGTTAGAGGGTAGTTTCGCGAGGAAGTGCCTCCAAGTACTACAGGTCACATTGTTTGAATTTAAGAATGACCTCAGAGAAATTTGCATAGAGCAAGCCGAATGTGCCATTAAGGTTTATATCTTAATCAAACTTAAATAACCCCAGTACCCACCTACTATATTGAGTAAAGTAACAACCTATGTATTTGGGCTGCTGGCCATAAAATATATACAGACTATTCGGACCACATAAGTATAGCAATGAAGACTTTTTGCAGACTTTTGTACACGATACATTTATAAGTAAGTTGGATTAAATCAGCATCACTCATTAACAATACCTGTATCTATGTTTTATAATTATCTGACTTCATATAAGAGTCTTGATAGCTCAGTGTCCAGGCGCTCGCCTTTAATTTAATATACTCGAGCAACCTGAGTTCGATCTCCTCGAAATAGTTAATTTCAAGTGCTGACTT